TTGTACATCGGCTGGCCACCGCAAGCCATTGTATAGGCCACATACGCACTCATTACTCCAATACGATTCTGAATGGAACTCGAGGTGGGGCGCATCCCTCAGGCGGGATTGATTAACGCCAAAAACCTTATCCTTCAAATTTATCCTTTATTAAGCAGACCACCTTGTGGCTCAGATTTACACGGATGTGTGTAGATGGATGACATAACATAATGGAACTGGGTGTGTTGAGGCCCAACGTCGTGCGATTTCATTACCATAGGGTTATCACTGCTAAGTTCTGCTAAGGAGAGTTCTCACAGTTTATAAATGGATAGTGAACCACATGTATTCTCTGCTCCCTCAATTCTATGTAGACGTGGTTTTACAAATGTGTGACCTATCCCTGCTACCAGTTTTACTTTATTATTTAATATTTAGATTCAGCACAAATCAAAATATATCCTTCCATAGTTTCCTAATCCTACAAAGTCAAGCTAAGTAAATCAATAGGTAAACATTCACAATGAAGTAACCTGGCAGGATTTATGTATGCGACCTTCTCCCCAACTGTGGCTATCACACGATGACCAAAAGTCCACAGACCTACGCATATTGCCACCACACCATATAGCAGAACATATATGGGAACCTGGAGAAAAAGTGATTTCATGCTCCACTCAGTATATATGCTTCGAAGTGATTATTCCCTGTTCTCGTAGGTTACCACTATTTTTGTGTGGCATTAACTGACGTGGTATTTTGCCATTCAGAAAAAGAGGAAATAATCGCTGAACTTGGATTGAACCCCATTTGCGAATCCTGCCACGGAACAACCGGTGAGTGTGTTGCTTGGTATTCTCTTTGGAAATCCAAAATTTCACATTGGTGATCGATGCAAGAATAATGTTGGCAGAAGAGGACTTCCTCTAATGATGACGGCTACAGCTAGGTCATAGTCTGTCAATGCATGTGGTGTTTATGGAATCATCACATTGTGACAATTCTTTCTCAGTTGATGGGTGTGCGCTACCAGGGTGGGGGTACTACTGCCCGGAGGTCGCGCCGCGCACGCCGCACCCGATCGCGCACAGTCGCGCGCTACGAAGAGAATGGTTTGGCTTCCTAAAGGAAGGTCCCGGTAGCCGCCCCGCAACCACTGCCGCTTGCCGTGGGAATTGGGGAAAAAGTGCCACCTATACGTTCACTCCAAAGCCCTGGAAGTAGTATCCAGTTCCATTGCTAGTTACGGTGCAGAACGTCTTTGTTAATGGTAACTTTTCGGCTGATTAACAATTGGCATCACTCCTGACAAAGCGGCTGGAAAGAAATCTTCCAGTGTCAGTGAAGTTAGGTTGTTGTGTTGTGCTGTGTTGTTTTGGTTAGTTTCTAACCACACCTGATCCTTACGATCGTGGGGAGATTCAGCTTTTTTCCTGTTAGGGCTGTTGAGTGTAACATTCTTCAATGTTTTGAACACTCCGCCTATCCTCGGTGCTTAAATTTGAGACAGAGGAAATTCGAATGAAAGCTGACATGAAACCATGAGGCTCTCATTGCCTCTAATTGGGCAAATTGATTAGGTTCAATATTCCTCTCTCAAAATCTCACCTCTTCCTTCTGAAGTGCACTCTTGTTTGAATAGATCGAGAGTAGAGCAGCAATTGGTGCTACCGAATTGCTGAAAAAATATAGCCCTGGAAGAGAACCTAAGCTTCACTCAGGAACGAAAATTTCAGTGAAGTTTGGAATAGATGGACATTTATGCATATAACTCCAATCCAGGGGAGGAAGTACTATAACGGCAAGTTTCGCAGAATCACACACACATGGTCACGGGTTCGAATCCCGGACCGAGTGTCATAAGGGCACAAATGCTGCGGAACAAAGCTGGCACCATGTGTTCTAGCCACGCTCCAGCGTTGGTTTGGAGCCAATTGAGGCACAGCTAAGCACTTTATCAGAAAATAATCAACAAGTCTGAAAAGAGCGCACCTCTAATGGGGCAAATGCGATAAAAGAAGAAGAAAAAGTAGAAAACATAAATGAGTAAACATAATTAGTGGATGCATGCACCTTACATCTTGCGCTCCATGAGCGAATCCAGCAAAGCATGCTGTAAATACTTGAATAGCACTGAAAAGTCGGCCAGTATCAGAATCGTCAGCCAGTGATGGATCCGGACGTATCCACTTCAGAAGCTCACGTGGTCCTGAATCCTTAGTTTTCTGCATTCCCACTCCTTTTACTCAACCGTACGAAAGATTTCTTTACCGTGTTTAGGTCCAGATTCCACAGCAGTGATCGATTCATCTTCCCTGTCAGTTTCTTGAGTATTTTCTGTCAGAGTTCTGCTACCGTTAGTACCGTCGGAATACTGTGATGCGTTATCTGCACCTCCAGTGCTTCTCTCATAGGACGGCAGTTTTAAAATAAAGATGTAATTTTTCAGAACTCAAGAAGAAGTATTAATATACCCACCAGATTCGCCTGGTTTTTTCCTTCTCAGTCGTGGTACGAGAAGAAATTGAGCAGCGGCTGCAGCTATGGCTCCAAAACAACAAGCCATTAGAAGCGCTACCCAAAATGGAATGGCGTCAAGATGGAGAACTGAAGTGAAGCTAATAAAATCGGAATCAGTTGACTGCAATTTAAGCGGCTGACAACATTAGTTGTGAATAGGAGACATCTCGACGATGCATAGCTTTGTTGAACAGACCGTTTAATGCTTTAATCCATTGTAAGGTGGTGAAACAGGCTTTTATAGGAGTATTGACTGTCGGCACTGTGGGATCAGTTTTTGAGCTCTTACTGCTCCCTAATTAGGGCGCAACAGAAGCCTCAAGAGCTTTCGTTGCACTCAGTGAATGTTCTTAACTTGCCTTTTGATCCTCTCCACACTACTATGAATACATTGAATCCTATACATATGAAGTAAAAAATGGGTATCATTTGCAATCCGCTCTCATACGGATCTTCCTGAAAATAAAGAGCTATATTTTCGAAGAGACGAGTAGCAGTGAGGACAGCTTTCTGGATCAAATCAATCTCAGATTGACGGCGTTTTCATTCCGTTCCAAGACGGAAAAACCGAAGATATTTGCGATTTGAGTCAGGTTCGCTGCAGAGTGTGGCTGGTCTCGAAAGCAAATTAAGGCTACTATGACTGATCGAACAAATACTGTGACCAGAAGCTATATAGCACGTCTATTGTTTCTGTACAAGTCACAGTTCCTCTTGATCGTAAGATGGTCAACCCGAGTGGCGGTGGATACTTGTTCCCGATAATCGCGTCGCGCTCGCCACACCCGTTCGCGCGAGGGAAAGTTTGGGTTCTCAGTGGAAGGAGTCAGAACCACAGGGGCGACCACGACATTAGGGATTCGGTAAGAAGTATCGTCATTAACCCAAGCAAAATGTCTGTATCCTCGAGTTCTTCAAAGTTGGATAGTTCGAAGTTAATTGCCCGGAGGTAAGTTCACCTGGTGGAAGTTATTTATAAAGCGGTCCTCCAGCATTTACTGTTTCCGTTTCCAAGTTTAATGAAAACGTGAGAGTTTAGAACCTTGCAAACGGGTGGAACTATGAAATTTTGTAAGGTAATTCAACCGATCCTTACAATATACGTTAAGCAGTTGACTTCTGGCGAATTAACAAAGGCGGTTGAAAAGTTGCCTTCTCCTATGCAATGATTAGTCACTATTTGGCTTCCGCTTGGACCTATCTAAGAACAAAAAAGGCGAAGGAGGGGATCCCTATGTATGAAATTGGATGACGCGCTTTTCTGATGGAGCCCTGAAATGACTTTTCGAAGAACATACCCTTTTCACAACGAGCAGGTCGATGATAGTATAGATGGAAATGGAAAATATTCCCGATGTGAGCGGTGAAGTAACCCATGACATCACTAAACAAAGGTATGTAATAGTCGATACACATTTAATAGGGACACTCTCAAAAGCGCCAGTGGTTCAGCTCCCAGTGGCATAGATTCATTGCCTAGATTGCTCAGATGTGAAACCGACCGACTAGACCAAGTTTCCCCCAGTTAATCCCTCGCTTTCCACGGAGCACAATAGAATAACCGAGAGTTCCTCCAACAAGCGAATGTGTGGTGGAAACTGGAAAGCCACAAAATGTTGCCAGCACTAGCCACATGGAAGATCCTGAAACATCAGCCAGCGGTGTTCATTCAGAATCACTGAATTTATCGTCTCTATCATTTACCAAGACAACGTCCCCTTTCGATTTCTGTAAGCACGAGAGGGTAGATATAGAGGCGTACAATTTACCTCCAAGAGCGGCTATTTGGCCAAAAAACAGATCTTGCGGTGCATCTGCATATACAGCTGTATCCACCACGCCTTTCCTCAGAGTGTCAGTAACTGACCAGCCTGAATGGTTCGCTTTCCGCAAACTAAATCTGACCGTTCACCTGTGCTCATAATAACTGGTTGACTGGAGAATGAGCGCTCAAATGATTTTCTTGCTTGTTACGTTCGCCGTGCGACCTTTGAGCTTTAGCGGCACTGCTCTGACCAGAATAAGTAATGTTCTCGTAGAGGTCTTGTAGAGAAGGAAGTATGGTATATGATGCCAGTGCTAGGTGCTTGACGAAAGGGTTGAGCCGTGTCAACAGCTCTCTTCATTTGAGGATCCTGCACACACAACCTTCCGGCACCTTACTGCTCATTCGATCTTGGTTTACTGGGTGTGGTACTCTCTCCCCGAAAATCGCGTCTCGCTCGCCGCATCCGTTTGTGCCCAGTCGCAGGCTATAAAGGGGAAAGTTTGAAGTTTCAGTGGAAGGACACGACGCGGGATCCCTGTCGCTTGTCCTAGGAATTCGAGGAACATACCGCCGCCCTAGTTCGCCTGCCGATTGATATACTCTCCTCCGAGACAGTGCGCTGCAACGTCTCCCACCGTGGCAGTCTCTTTCGACCAATAATATGCAATTTCCTTCTGTGGCTATCTTCTTCAACGATTGAATCTGCTGGAGTAGCATACGGTGAGACTTACCTACTAACACTGCTCCAAGCGTTTCAAATATTGTAGCCAGTGTGTAAGCTTGAACCAGTGTCAGAGTTCCACTTCCAACCGATGTACCAAAAGCATTTGCAACATCGTTGGCTCCCATTGCAGCACCCAACACAAATGCAAGAATCACTCCAAGAACAAGTGCCCATTTTAGAGATTGCTGAAAGTGCTGCGGCTTTCTTCCAATTCAAAGCTGAACAGTTTCCTTCCTCATCTTTACGAAAAAAGCCCAGACTCCACGTCGAACAGAGATCGAAGGATTGGTGGGTTGATCATATCCACATGGTGGAGATATACTGTTGTCGTGCACTTAGTGGCGCATGGGTCGCGTTTGAATTTCTGTCGATTAAACTGTGGGAACTAAGCATGAACTGCAGGAGGGAGGTAATTCGTCCCAAACTGCAGTGCTGACAAGTTGTTCCCACGAGCGCCTCTAGAGTAAAGCGTTGGGCGTTGAGCGAGCCGGCGCTCTGTAAGCATCCGAGGTGCCGCTGACGGACTTTGCATTAGAGCATGTTATTCTCCATACAGAGCTCCCAACCGTGCGATGCCGATCAACGAGCAGCTTTGTCAAAAGAGCGCGTTCAACGCTCAACGCTCAACGATTAACTCCGGAAGGTGCGCGTGCCACATTTGGGCGACAACTGGAACAACCGATTCACTCCGAGCCTGGCAATCCCAAAACGCTGTGGTGGCCCCTGAGCAGGATTCAATTGAGGAATGGACAGCTTGAATGTCCACTCATCAACACACACACCCTTATCCACGTGCCCCTACATGCCCAGTCCCCTCGTTTCATGGATTCGTTTCATACCTACTCGGCCCCTCCCCCACCTACTTTCTCTTCTTTCCCAAATCCGTGTAGCGTCTTCGTTAGCTTAACTGCACAATTGCTATTTTCATCGTCGTCGACATCGCTTCTTCTGAGACCTCTGCGAAAACAGTGAAGGGGAAAGATTACCTGATTAAAGTACATCGTAGCCGTTAAAGTGACAAGAGTAGTTGCCAGCGAATTGATTTCTGAAATGAACCTTTTTTTAATCACCATGGGCTGATAAAAAAGGTGTTCAGCTGGTAGTTTTTCAGCGCTGGTACTTTAGCACCCTATGAAAATTGATGGCATTACTTACCTGTCATTTTAAATCTATGGATATACCGACGAATACCTTCGTAATACTGAAAATGAACCAATGTACAACCCCTTGTTTCCTATCTTGTTTATTACCCCTTACTGCTGCTATCATCTTTGTTTTCCTCTTTTCACCGTTACTACAGGTTGTTGAATACCTGAATTTTGTACGGTATTCCTTGACATGATAAACGCGCTGCATGGAAAACCTGTGACAGTACATATATATGGGTGAAAATGTAGTTGGTGGGGGTGGGGCATCCCTCCCCTCCAACACCAGGAGCTAGAGGGCAGAAAAGGAGGAGCAGGAGAGCCCGTAGTGATGGTTTCTAAGCAGGAGTGGTATGCTACCTACCGCTTACACTTTTCTCCTCAATGCCAGGTTTTTGCACAGGCAAATCGTCTCATTTACCATTCTGAGTTGTAGTTGAAGTCTTTATTCCCCTCGCTTGAAAACGTTTTCAAACCCCATTACTACCCCACTCAGCAGAATACTCCTCCT